GACAAGTGTCCAGGTACTGACAGGAAACTCGACCACATTGAACGGAGGTCCGAGGGATAAAATTGGAACACGCTGTAACTGCGAGAGAAACCGAGAGGAAGAAATTGCGTACGAAAGGACCAAAAAAGATGTACAAAGACGATAAATAACTTGAAAAGCGAGGTCTTGAACATAATGTTGTCTGTTCGTGCCTGGCTAACCGCGAATGTAGTAATCTTGATGGGACCTCGACCGATCGAATGTAGAACGCCATAACCCGTGAAAGAACCACGAACCACCTCGAATATAACAATACCCCGTTGACAATGCTATCGTTTCATTCTCTCGCGGAATGCTCGATGATTCATGGCCGATCGTTGAAACTTCGACGTGTACGCTTCCATCGTTGATGTATCAGCGGTATTTATTGCGAGATGCAGACCACGCGGACGTGCATAGATGCATGAGAAACTTTCCGCTAAACGGATCAAGGGGAACGAGATTTATCGATCGTTGCGTCGTCAGCCGACTATAATTACTGAATCTACCGAGAACAATCGAAAATCACACGGGGAAAATATGATAGGTCTATCTTTCCTGGCTACATTCGACGGCCAAAACACAAGAGATGCTTCAACGAGGGAACGTTTCTTTAGATAGAACCTCAACCACAACAAGGCTTTCTGCAAGATATTGTACATTCTGCAGGATTCAATGCGTTCTTCTAAATTCGTTTTATCGTTTCAGATTTCTAAGAACGTTCGATGTTCAAAATTCAAGTTTTTAAATTATCGCTGTTACCTATAATCGTAATTACGTATATTTCGACAACAATTTTCAGATTGCTTCTCTCAAGGTGAGCTCTCTCGCGCGAGAACTGGTATAAGAAAATTGCACGAATTTACGTAATTACGATGATTAATCACGACGCGCGGCGTAAGATTTTGGTAGCCTTTACCGTGTTTTTCACTTCAACTCGCCAAGAGAAAGATCATATTGTCGTTGATTTTTTTTTTTTTATAAATTATATTGAAGAAACATAGTTGATGTGTTGTTCTTTTTTTTTTCTCTCTCTCTAGAGATACAATAACGCTGACTTATTGTTAGAGGACAGGTGGATAGTTAGGAAAAAAAGTGTGGTGGAAGAGTTGAGAACGTGTAAGAAAATGAAATCTATTTTAATTCGTAAACTAGTTTGTGTGATACATGCGTATTTTTATAAGGAACGACTTGTTATGTATATTAACTTGTTAACTTGTTATATGTATATATATATATGTATATATATGTATATATATATGTAGAAATTATTCAAGCTCACGGATGCTCACCCTCGCCCTCCTCCTCTTCGTCAAATTCGCCCTCTTCTTCGGCGGTGGCTTCCTGATATTGCTGGTATTCGGAGACCAGGTCGTTCATATTGCTTTCAGCCTCGGTGAATTCCATTTCGTCCATGCCTTCTCCTGTGTACCAGTGCAGGAAAGCCTTCCGCCTGAACATCGCCGTGAATTGTTCCGATACTCTTTTGAACAATTCCTAAATTCACAAAATTCGCAAAATACAACTGTTTCTTTCGCGTGGAACAATAGAGTGACTAATTAAATTGATTCAATTGGAGGTAGTTGCTAACGCGACACGGTCGTAAAGAGTTAATAATTTCCAGCGTCGATGAGACTCGCATAATAATAATTAAGACATTTTGAAATAAGGAGGCTCGGACCAGTTTCAAAGTTGGGAAAAATCTCCTTCTGCCTCCTTTTAGAAAGTGTACTTTACTTTTATGCGAATATTATGAAAATTGAGGAGTCGCTGGCAGATTGTGAATTTGCATGCTACGTGAAAGCCATATGAAATACTTAAAACAGAGTAAACATTAGTAGGTGAAACATTTACAATATTTCTGGTCGTTGCGAGTTTATTAAAAACCCTGAGGCTAATCGTTCGGTACCTTATGCTATTATGAAAATCTCATCTATTACGGATAAACTGATATTAATGCGAATATCTGTTTTTATGGGTGTGCCAATTAAAGAAGCGAAGTTCAACGACGGACATCAAGGAGAGTAATTTTTGCAGTCCAAGGCATAAATTGCTTGTATAAAAGCAGGACGTATGGTCCTGGGTGTAGCTCGATTAATGGACACGGCCCCATTAACCAACAGTTTCTTCTCAAAACTGTAATTTACGACCGCGTTTCGTATTCGAGTATA